ATTTTGGATACTAAATTTATTTAATTAATAGACTAGACCATTTGACCAATTCGACCAGACCATTTAACCAATTTGACCAGACTAGTTTGACCATTAAATTTTTGGTTGACCAGTAATTTGACCAACCCTGACTATTTTGTATTTAATATCTATTTTTCATCTTACCCTAATGCTAATATTTGTTAGTTTATTATTATTCATTTTCTGAAATATATATTAGATAAATAACAGGTCAATAAAGGTATATCCTATTATTTAACTATTATTTATGTATTCAATCTGTAATAATTACTTTACTCTGCATACAAACTTCAATTATGAATAATATAATAAAATTTATATATTATTTTACCTTACATATATATAGCCTTTGATTATAATAAAATCTATATTGAGTTTTCTTTTTTGAAATAGTTACTTATTCTATATATAGTCTTTGATTATTGCAAATATTTTTTGTTTAAATATAGATAAGTAGTTATTAAAATATTCTTGTTAAAAATCTTTGCCAGTATTTGATAATTGTTTAAATTTCCTTTAACTTTAATAAGAATATCTTAATAACTTTTAGTTTTAAATAAATAAAATTTTATTTTAATTTTTAGTATATATAAAATTAAATTTAAAAAAATTTTATTGATTTTAAACAGATAGCTATAAAGATATTCTTATTTGAAGTTTAGAAAATATTTAGACAATTATCAAAAACTGCAACAAAGATTTTTTCAAACTTAGAGCAAGGATATCTTAATAACTACTTATTTAAAGTTAATAAATTTTTTTTTGAATTTTTAGTGTTTATAAAATTAAATTAAAAAATTTTTTTAATTTAAACAAGTAGTTATGAAGATATTTTTGTTTAAAGTTTAGAAAATATTTAAATAATTTTTAATAAAGACTATAATAAAGATTTTTTTAAACTTTGAGCAAAAATATCTTAATAACTATCTATTTAAAGTTAATAATTTTTTTTTTTAATTCTTAGCATTTATAAAATAAAATTAAAAAAATTTTATCGATTTAAGCAAATAGTTATAAAGATATTCTCATTTGAAGTTTAGAGAAAATTATCAAAGACTATAACAAAGATTTTTTCAAACTTAGAGCAAGAATATCTCAATAACTATCTATTTAAAGCTAATAAATTTTTTTTTTAATTCTTAGTATTTAAAGAATTAAATTAAAAAAATTTTATCAATTTAAGCAAGTAGTTATAAAGATATTCTTGTATGATGTTTAGAAAAAATTTAGCTAATTATCAAAGATTATAGCAAGGATTTTTCTAAACTTAGAGCAAGAATATCTTGATAACTACCTATTTAAAATTAATAAATTTTTTTTTTTAATTCTTAGTGTTTATAGAATTAAATTAAAAAAATTTTATAGATTTTAAATAAATAGTTATGAAAATACTCTTATTTGAAGATTAGAGAATATTTAGATAATTATCAAAGATTATAGCAAAGATTTTTTTCAAACTTTAAATAAGAATATCTCAATAAATACCTATTTAAAATCAATAAAATTTTTTTCAATTCTCTGCATTAATAAAATTAAAAAAAAATAAAAAAATTCATCGATTTTAAATAAGAGTTACCAAAATATTTTCATTTAAAGCTTCGAGAAAACTTAAAACTATTAAAAACTAGGGATAGTAAAGTTTGGTTTGGTTTGGTTTAGTTTGATCAAACCTTGATATACAGTATGTAGTTAAAACCAAACCAAACCAAACTATAAAGTTTAAATCAACAGTTTATAACTTTAGTTTAAACCTGGTTTGGTTTATATAAACTTGGTTTAGTCTATATAAACCAAATAAATATTTTTATGCATCCTTTACATGATTATGTATAATTATGCATAATCATGCATAATCATGCATATTTGTGCATATTCATGTAAGTTTATACAAGGAGTACATACAAATATATAAGGAGTATATGAAAAATAATTTATATATAAACTGCATTAAAACTAGTTTAAATAGTTTAAAAAAGCCAAACCTGGTTTGTATTATAAACTATCTCTTAAACCAAGTTTAACCTGGTTTTTTAACAAACTTAACCATCCCTATTAAAAACAAGAATTTTTCCAAACTTTGAATGAAGATATATCAATAGCACAAATCTAAATCAATGGAAAATTTTTTATTTTAATTCTCAGGAGTTCATAGAACTAATATAAAAACTTTTTATTGATTTTAGATAGAGATATATTCTCTCAAAGTTGAGAAAAGTTATATAATGTTGTTATTAGGGATCATTGATTTCGTCCAATCAGAATGGGTAGTTAAAGTAGAATCTCACTTACCCGACACTTTTTTTCGCCATAGCTAGGGTACTATTCTCCCCTGTTGTATATTGTCATACTCAAATCCACCTCTTATTTGGATTTGGGAGACTATGCATTTGGAGTATGAAGACTCTAAACAAATAACTTGGCAAAGCAATAAGAGATGTTGAAATTATTAACTCTACAAGAGGATTTAAAATAAGGCTTTGAAAGAGGCAACAACCTTAGTGTATATGAGGTTACAAGAGGTTGTATATTTCTATTCTATTAACACAATTCACATTTATCATATGATGACTACTCTGTTATCTCTCTTTAGTATTTCCGGTTAATTTAACATGTATGGAGACACGGATATGTTTATTAAATAAAGATATCAAAAGGTGAAATACAAAAGAGAAATAAAACTAAACTACTAAATGGAGAATTCGAATGTTAAAGGGAAAACGAAGTCTACTAAGGCGAAATCAAAGGCCTTAAATACATATTTCGAAAACTAAGCGAAGTAATACTTTTCTTATTTTCCTTTAATACTAAGTTAATCTATTTAATTAGTTAATAAAACTAATAATTAAGTAATTACTTTTAGTATGAAGCTATACTTTAGAACGAAACTTATTACGAGGCGTAACAAGGTTAGAACCTGCGGATCTGAGGATCGTTGATCCACACCGTGGTCATTTAGATCAGGTGATTCTTACTGCGGCTAATTTCTCATGCAACAATATCATATTTTTCTGAAATTCCGAAAAGTTTCGAAGTAGAAAATGAAAGCTAAAATACGAGCAAGGTTGGGCAAAATTTTTGCAAAAATCTTGTAATGTTCCGAAATAAAATTATATGATACAATTAAAATAAATCACATAAATCGGAATTTAGTGAGTACAAGACAAAATGCCGTTTTATTAATGTTATCCGGGGTCCTAAAATTTCCATAGTTGGATCAACTTCTACGATTAGTTATCACATGTCTTTTTTAAATTTTATTGGTTAACTTATGGTTACATGATTCATTCGTATAAAAATCCGTCATGGAATTTTGAGAATGCATATCTGAGGAACATAGTCCAAGTTTTATTTATTTGATAATAGATATTTAGCATGTGGCTAAATTTCAGATTAACCTCAATGGATAACAAAATTGCCAACCTTTTCCCATACTGATATGGGCAGCTTGGATCAATGCTAGTTACGACTAAGAGAGGGAATCACTGTATGAGATTCTTTATTAAGTCAATTTTCAAAATAAAACTATATAATGTATAAAATAAAACCGGTTAGATAAACCGGATTGGATAACGATAATGAAATAAACATCTATTTATAAATCCGAATAGGTCTCCGGACAAGCACTAATTTTTGTAAGTGTATATCTTTATGCAACCATCTTAAAATATAAATAAGTAATTAGAAGTAGCTAGAAACGATCGTTTATGAAGCACGTTTTTTGAACTCACCATCAGCACTAGTGAATAACAGAGGTTTCCATGGATGAAATATTACGTCTCTAACTTCTAGGTCTTTTTTTTTGTTTTTTTTTGTTCGTAAACTTACAAAAATTAATAATTTGTTAATAACAATGGCATGATTAAAAATTTACTGTACCTTCATGATCTCTTAATATGGCTGTAACCTTCCCAGTCCTTAAGCTGAATATAAAGACATGTCCAGTCATTGTTGGAGCCACGAGATAGCGACCATTTGATGAAATTTTTATAAGCCATGAGTTGGAATGATAACTATCAAATAAAATAGATAAAATCTTTAGTAAATTAATAAATTGGTTCATCTATAAATGGTTACTTACTCTTTATGTCCAAACCTTCGCACTTCTTTAAGTTCAAATGGTTGTCCTTTTTTAGAAGGATATATCAATTTATGCAGAATGCACACATTTGCACGTGACGCTAAGTCGATTTATTAAATTTTTTTAGTACATGCTAACCCGTATATTATTTAATTCCAAACGAAATGAACCATCACCTATTTTTCCACCTTCTGCATCTAAAATTTCTACACCACGGGTAATAAAATATGCGAATTTTTGGCTCACTTGTTTTTTTTTAGATTTACTATTGCATTCCTCTACACTATCGTTATTAATATCTTCATCTTCTAATGGTTCGATAGGATAAATGAATTTACCACAATCACAGTATTGTGAATACATGTTTCCCGAAAAGGTTTGCATAAGCTTTATTTTTCAATATAAGAATATATTAACGCAATTATTTCTTACAACACATATTACATCTATGACGGTGAATTCAAATACCTGTGCTGCATCAAAATCGTATAATCGAACGTGTTCGTCGGTAGCTGCCATAAAATACCTATTGGCAGTGTTTGGAACAAATGAAACAGTAAACGCCATGCATGTTAAGCCATCCACCATTGGTTGTTTACTAATGAGTGTACTATGAAATAATATTATGAGTTATGTATAAAATTAAATTGTAGGTTATGTCAACTATGTAAACTGTGTAAATTACTTACGTCCAATCCTCACGCATTTTCCACTTTATGATATATCCGTCTTGACTTGTCGTTAAAAAATATGGTGCGCCCTTGTATATGACAGTTTTTACACATAATATTTCTTCGGTGTGACCTTCAAGTCTTGCGATAACTTTCCCGGTAACAACATCAAAAATCTAACCGATTAGAGAAAACTCATTAGATATTCATCATAAATCAACTAAATAATTTTAGTTTTAG